TTGCACTTTTTGTATTTTGCATATGGGTGCTGTTTATTGCAGCTTCTATTTTTGTAAGTTCGTAAACATTTTTTAAAATTCGAAATTTCTCAAGAGTTAAAAAATTCAGGAAAAAAGCGAATTTTTCGAGTGTATTGCAAAGATTCTGAGCAGTGCTGTGTTTTTTTTTTCAAACAAAAATAAAACGCTAGTTTCATTTTTTCAAGGTTCAGAATCTGTCGAGAGTTAATTGTTAGCGATGCATGCGTGCCAGGCTTGCCGGCGCTATGATGCATTTTTGCACGATTTCATACTGTAGTAGGATCGTTTGGACTCGCACACATCTCCTTACTCCCAGAAAATTTCAGCTCCCTGGCTTAGCTTTTCCGAGCAGTGATTTGGTTTTAGGAATATGCAATCGCTCGCAAAGAGATGTCGGAGAATGCGTTTAGTTAATGTACAATTGATATCCAGTTTGATTATTTATTTTGCAGGGAATAACTCGGCTAAAAATCGAATTAACGCCGGAAAAACTCTTCTTCCAGGATTCACCAATTATTGAGGTAATCATATTTTAATGCTTTGGACAATCATTTTTTTCTCGGCAGCTTCGGCTGCATTCATTATGTCGGATGTTTGCTGTGAGCTGTGACTAAAGCTATAGCTTCACTTTCTGCCCTGTTTTTTTCCACTTCTAGGTGAATATGTTAGCATTGATCACAGTGCGTCTTTTGATTTCCGCGCTTATCTATTAATGATCTTCCAGAAGCTTTGATATGTGAACTTTCTCAAATGAAAAAATCTATTAGGAATTGGTCTTATAAACATCAAAACCTGGATTGTTAAGGGATATGCAGGCCTTGCGAGATTAGTTTTGTCGGATTTCAAAAAAGCAGCTTTTCTAAGCCTGGAATACTAAGGGCACGATTCTTTGTAATCTTGAAAAAATTTGTTTTCAGACGAACAATTTGCTGCAAGAATACCAAATACCACAGCATACAATGGCGCAGTTCTATGTGAACAATCCCGGAAATCTATCGGATCCTCGACGTTTGCAACTTTTGGATCAAATGGTTTTTGAATTGGAACATATGAAGGGTTCGTGGGGCCCGGAGGGTACCAACTATTTTATGCGTGATTTCATCGAGTATGAAAAATATCTGAACGAAGCGGAAGATGGTCCAGGTGTTTAGCTTTTTTCTACAAAAAAATTTTAGTCTATTTGTTTCTTGTCTTGCTGACAAGCGGCGAAACTGAATTGTACCCATGGAAAAGTAAACGACTACTGGAGCGGAGCCTGAAAATATGACGCACATGCATCAACCTGAAGATGGTGCTAACTGGAGGAGTGCAACTCAGGATCGATAGTCTAACACAGTTGCGCCTGGGTTCGGCATATGGGAGTACCCCAATAGCATCACTAATATGGGCAGTCTTAGTATCCCTAAGTTTCGTTTATGGATCAATGCTAGGCCGATCTTAGATCACATTAGGCTTGTTACAGTTAAGTATTACTAAAGTCCCAATCAACTTGTCCTATCTGTCAGTTGTTCTTACTGAAAAAAAAATTTAGTCATTAAAGAGAAAATCTAAGTCACTCTGGAAGGACAGGACAGATAGGATTAGTCCGCGAAAGCCCGGCTCACATGAGATTTTACTGCACCAAGTCAGATTAAATCCATTTGGATCCTTTTTTAAGCATTAAGTTGCTTCTGTATCAACCTGGTTCGCCTCAAATGAAGAACGGTTCGAGGTTTAAATAAATCAGCCTAGCTTCGCGAAATTCTCAGCTTATCAAAGCTAGAAATTCACTGCAGAACACGGGACCCCCAGAATAGCTGTTGTGCAGCGGAGGAGGGGGTCAGGGGTCAAAATCTTAAAAACCTTTGCATCTTCTATCGTAATTATTCCTGGAATAGAACAGCTCATGCGACTTTGATTGTTTTTTTACATTCATTAAATTTATAATTTAAACAGTTTACTTCAGATACCGCAAATGGTGCTATCTTGCTCAGAGATAGCGATTTGCCAGCATTTCTGAATTGGCCCGAATATGAAAAATGGCGAGGATTTGTAATTTTTAATGAAACTACGTAAGTTTTTGTTAATTTCACTGAAACTCTGTGTGATCAGCTCTTGAAAAATATTGCTCAGTATCAAAGATTAAAGTCTCAAGTTCCGCCCTGTAGCTCGTTAACATCAAGTGGTTGCTCTGGTAAAGCGAATGATTGCTGTAGTTCCGAATGCCTTTACTTAGGTAAATATATTCATACCAGATGACTTTTTGGAGCATTTTCGAATAAAAGAGCGTATGCTGCATCGCTTTGTAGTCAGCCTGCTGGCAATCCTGACGTTCGTTTTTTCACTCAGAAAGGAAATATTGGTTTATTTTTGTTCCACAACAAATGCAAAAACGCGCAAAAACGATTTCTTATTGCAGTGGCAGTTTGCAAAAATTCTTCTTTACAACAGCTTATTATGGTGAGAATTTGAAAGAATGGCCGGAACGTGGCGTGCTGTTGAGCAAGTGGCGCGCCATCATTGACCGATACAGGTTTTTCTTTTTTGGATTTACAGTCTGCGAATTTCATTCAGTTTTATCTAAATCCTCTTCCACCGGTGAGCTCTTCTACTAGCATAGCTGACAGCTTTTCCAGTTACTTTGGCCAGTGCTGCATCATCGCCTGGTGGTCAGTCTGTTGGCGATCCTGACTTTCGTTCTTCTTCGGAAAGAATTATGAGCTCAACGATTCTCCTGGCAAGAAGCATTTGGCAGCCATTTCGGGATTTCCTCCTCGGTGTATATTGAGCAGCACTGCTTCGTCCCGAATACTCCCACTCCTAGACCACGATGAAGTACCTAAGTAAGCGGAGTAGGTCGTTAACAACCAACACCATTACTGCTGTAGCCCATCAAACTTAAAAAGTTTCTTTATACGCAAATTTTTTCAGGGAATTTAATGTGTCGGTGTATATGGATGATGGATTGTTTCTGGATTTAATTGAAAATATGCCAACGGATGCATGGCAATCAGCGCTCGGCACACTAGTCTGCATGGCATTCATCTGCTTCATTTTCCTCTACGATACTTTCACGGTGGTCGTCGTCTCAGCTGCCATCGTCTCCATTATGACTGGTAAAAGTTCCACTTTTATTTCTTACTTTTGACTACTCACAATGGCTTTTACTAAAGTTGTCAAAATTCCTCTCATTTGTTATACTTTGTGAGAAGGGGCATAGTCAACGTCTGTCAGGAAGAACAGTTGGACTAGTCAGTCATTTGGCATGAATGAGAGATAACAGATGGACAAAGCAGATTATTGAAAGTGTCCATGCAGGGACAAAAAAACAATTGAACGGCTGTGGAAGGATCCGTTCGAGCAGCTAAATAAATTTATGTGAATAAGAGACACGCAGAACAGAGAAGAATGAAGCTATGAAACAAATCAGAATGTAAAAGTAAGAAATATGAGACGCAGAGGTACTCGGAAGTGGCTGAAATAATTATTAGGGCTTTGCTAACAGCAATTACTCGCTGATACGGCTGTTGATGGTTCATGAACAGCAGCAAGAAGCAAAATGAAAGCCAGTTGGGTTTCTGGCACAGTTTGTTAGAGAAAAACCCAGGCTGGAACGCACCGGACGGGCCCGTGCGATCATGCGTTTTTGCACAGGACTTGA